GTGGAATCGGCTCTACCGGAATGCCCAGATTCTCTTGGAATTAGAAGATTGAACCTGATTGGGCGCAGGTGAAATAAAAGGTGACTGCTGGACTGGTGAATTATGCCTAACCCTCCTCCGTCTCGTAATCAGTGAGACTGAAGCAAACACTGGTTGTCTCCTAACAAGATCCCCATATCTGTAAAGTCTCCTTACACGGGTCCAGAGTGCCTGGGGGGTAACAGAATTGTCCAAAGTAATTGTGAGAAACTACCTTGCAAAAAGAAATAAAGCAAAAAAAAAAAATGAAACATCAGAAACCGCACAACACCTCAGTTCAGATGTGAACAAGACACAGTTGCAATCATAAGCTGTAGAACTGTACTCAACACTGATTTCTACCCCCAAATCTGATACCCAAACTTGCAACTGATACATACATTCCTGTAGAGTTTCACTCTAAAAGCATATACCAGTTAAGTGAGAGCCAAAACACCCTTATGATGGGGTAAGGTTACCTTGTCCTAGTTTCGTTAGGAACTAGGGTTCACTATTCAAAACAAAGTGTTTCACATAATCCTGTATTCGGGTAAGCAACATGTCCTAGTTTGGAACAGTCTCTACGGTTTTCGATATGCAACTAGGTCAAATGGTCAAAAAGGGTACCTCAGCAAGACTACCTAATATACCTCTCACACCTAACACCGAGAAGTGAAAGGTAGATCAAACGGTATAGCGGTTGTCCAGATCCAAGGGTTATGTTCCCATCGTGGTAGAGCCCACAACCAGTCAGCCTTTTGATTAGCTTTTCCAAGCAAGCCTCCGGCAAGCCATCCAAAAATAATAGATGGCAAACACAGTGACTTAGGCACGCCAATGCAAATGTAATCCAAAGAAACACATAAGTGTTGATAAAAATTCATATCGTGAGTTCGAGTCAAGTTCTCTAAATCCCCAGCAGAGTCGCCAGAAACTGTAGCTCGGCTTTTTCGCGCCCCCTTTCGGAAGCTCGAATAAAGCCCTACAGCTCGGACTCCCACGGTTCTAAATCTAATCTTACAAGTGCAATGTGAAATTGATAAACACTGAAGAGTCCAAATCTGGCAAATCGTTTGAGAATTTGATTTTGAATCAAAAATGCCAAAATTGGATTGCTTTGCCAGACACATAGTCGCCACATAAATATTTTATTTTGGGAAAATTTAGGAAACCCATGACTCGTGCCAAAGGCCACGTGTCCGTCATCACCAAAGTTGCCTCGGTTCAGGAACTTAGGTACGAGAAGATCAAACGGTATAGCGGTTGTCCAGATCCAAGGGTTATGTTCCCATCGTGGTAGAGCCCACAACCAGTCAGCCTTTTGATTAGCTTTTCCAAGCAAGCCTCCGGCAAGCCATCCAAAAATAATAGATGGCAAACACAGTGACTTAGGCACGCCAATGCAAATGTAATCCAAAGAAACACATAAGTGTTGATAAAAATTCATATCGTGAGTTCGAGTCAAGTTCTCTAAATCCCCAGCAGAGTCGCCAGAAACTGTAGCTCGGCTTTTTCGCGCCCCCTTTCGGAAGCTCGAATAAAGCCCTACAGCTCGGACTCCCACGGTTCTAAATCTAATCCCACAAGTGCAATGTGAAATTGATAAACACTGAAGAGTCCAAATCTAGCAAATCGTTTGAGAATTTGATTTTGAATCAAAAATGCCAAAATTGGACTGCTTTGCCAGACACATAGTCGCCACATAAATATTTTATTTTGGGAAAATTTAGGAAATCCATGACTCGTGCCAAAGGCCACGTGTCCGTCATCACCAAAGTCGCCTCGGTTCAGGAACTTAGGTACGAGAGGGGAAGGTCATGAATACATTTGAGCACCCCCGCTCTCCCGATCAAAGATCGGCCTCTACTAATCATGATATGATTTTTATCAACATTGTATGCTCTTGTTCTGGTTTAATAGGCTAGCATTTACTATGTGATGCGCATAAGCAAGTACAGACTAGTTTGCCCGAGTTAGAACAATTCAATTTCATGTTTGTTTTTTGAAAATGGTTTGAATTTGTCACTTCAAGTGGGCTTAAAGTTTGCGAATTTGCCACTAGAAAAAGTGGGCTTAAAGTTGTGAATTTGCCACTAGACATAGTGGGCTTAAACGTACATTCGTTGAATCGTTCCAATTCAAGCAACAAGCCTTTATCCACAGACATTCAAGCAGTTTAGCAAATAAGCATTTAGACTCATGATAAGCATGCTAGACATGGCAATCACTCACACTCATGCAAGTATGCTAATGAACTAAAAACTCACCTAGTATCCAAGCCAAGAAGATATGAGTTAGAAAAATATGCATGATTCCAAACTATGCCAAATGGCTAGTGCAACACATGCGATAATGCAACTAAAATAGACTCGGCTACTAAGCATGGCATATGAATTAATTTGATAACATGCGGTTTAAACACGTATTCAAATGATGTATTTAAACAACAATGCGGTTAAAATGATGCGCCGAGCCTCGGTGCATGCAATACAAAATGAATCGATGCAAGCATAAGGTATGTTAATTGAAACATGATGCTCCTAAACTAACCATGAAAAGCGGTTAAGTAAAAGGGAGAAAGATGTGGAGTTGGAAGACATATACATTATTACATCACGCTCTCACGAATGAGAGCCTGAATGAATAAAGCTAACTGGCTAACTAAGCTAAGCTAATTAAACCTAATTAAGCTAATTATTACAAACCGAATAAATAGATAAACTAATTATTATTACAACACTTGAATTAACTAGCTAACAAGCTAATTAATTAAATCATTACAAGACAATTGCAACTAAGAGTTTAACTAAGTAATTAAACTAAGCTAATTTGTTGTTCCACCTCGAGAAATGAAAGACGTGTATGCGCATGCTCGATTTCCACCTGAAAAGACCTATGCTTCGCTCTCGAAAGCCTCTGTTTTCACAATTGAACACTTTCAGAACAATTTTGCTTCACCTTACCAATACTCTATTGAGGTTTGCATCAGTGGACAGCCGGCCACTAGTGAAGCTTGCCAGCCACCTGCCGGCCATGGAAGTGGCCTGTTGGCCATCAACGATGCTCAGTCAGCCACCTGCCGGCCACTGATGCACTGGTTCATCTTGCTACAACAGAGGACAAATAGAGCAAAAAGAGGGTATTCTCCCAGATTGTTTGCATAACTCACCCCTCCTTTTCATGAGCAAATCCAAGGAAAAGCAAACTTAAGCCACAAACCACCAATTTAAGCAATTTCATTGCATGATGGCTTGTGATTCAAGATGTGCAAGCTCAATAAATGCAAAATAAGACACACAAAACCATCACCCTATCATGCATGATCAAGGGCAATGGAGACCTAGGAAACTTGATACATTTCATCACTTTGAGTATGAAATGTCCCAATTTTCCTTGTGTTCAATTAACGTTAGATTGAACACATCAAAACACAACCAAATTCTTATCTTTGCTCACTTTTAGTCCCAAGTTTTAGTTACTCATTTTCAGCTTTACCAACCATTCTTTAATCCAATTAAGTCTAAAAGGTGAGTTAAAGTCCTCTAATGGAAAGAAGGCCCAAGACACAAGTTGCTTTGGGTATGAAAGAAGTCTCATACAGTTGGTAATAAACCCCCTAAGGGATTAAACCATTAAGTATGAAACCTCAATTTCACACTTAGGCACACAAATGACTTGAAACCACTTTCAAGAAAAAATGAAAAGCCAAGAAAGGAGGGAGGTTGTAGAGATGATTAGTGCTGAAATTAAGTATGAAAAGGATTGAACACATCAAAACACAACCAAATTCTTATCTTTGCTCACTTTTAGTCCCAAGTTTTAGTTACTCATTTTCAGCTTTACCAGCCATTCTTTAATCCAATTAAGTCTAAAAGGTGAGTTAAAGTCCTCTAATGAAAAGAAGGCCCAAGACACAAGTTGCTTTGGGTATGAAAGAAGTCTCATACAGTTGGTAATAAACCCCCTAAGGGATTAAAACATTAAGTATGAAACCTCAATTTCACACTTAGGCACACAAATGACTTGAAACCACTTTCAAGAAAAAATGAAAAGCCAAGAAAGGAGGGAGGTTGTAGAGATGATTAGTGCTGAAATTAAGTATGAAAAGTTCAAAAACATGCAATCAACTCCAACAAGTAATGTCTAATGGCCTAAAACACCAAACTTGTGAGGACTATTACACTACAAGCATGCAAAACAAGACTCAAATGCAGCAACCAACCCAAAATAGAGTTAAAACAGCCTAAATCAAAGGCTAAAACATACTGAAATTAAGCTACAACAAGCTAGAAAAATAAGCTAACACATGGCACCAACTAGGTTAGCAAACAAGACACAAGGAGGGAAGGCTAACCCCTCCAAATTTGGACTTCAAAACATGATTTTAACCACTGAAAATAATCTAAAATTCAGTGTTTAAAAGCTTGGAAAAAGATAGTTTGAAAGTGGGAAACACAAGTTGAAAAGCCTAACAAACAAGGTACAAAGAAGGGTTAACCAACCTTACCTCAAAATGGCTTCAAACCACAAATTTTAGCCCACTTTGACAGAGTTTTTATAGCCCCAAAACAACTAAAAAATAGTGGGAAAAAGATAGGAAAACAAGTATGCAAAGTAAGTTAACAAAACAAATATTATACCTCTTGAAGAGAAGAGTGATTCTAGGCAACAATTCAAGTCAAAACCAACTTCAAGAGCTCCAAGTAGACCTTAAGGAACCTTAGCTCAAAGGTGATCAAGTTTGGTTGAGGAAGTATAGGCAAGAGTGTAGTGTAAGCTATGAATCATGGACACTCCAAAATTGATGCCGTAGCAGTGTCCGACAAGAGGACACGCCGGGGACACAGGGACACGCCGTGGACACGTACAGGACACGCCAGATGGCGTGTCCCTTTAATTTAATGATTTTTTTAGAAGGGGACACGGCGGGGACATTTCTGGACACGCCATGGGACACGGCGAGGCTCATTTTTGAATTTTTTATATTTATTTGGGGTCAAAGTATAATATTTATAAAGTAAAAAAAAAAAGAAAAACAACGGGAAGCCCTAATCGAACAACTGAGGAGTAAAGGAGTAAAATCAAACCTGCAAAGACCTTCACTCTCTCAGTCGAAGCCCTCTCTCTCAGTCGAAGCCCTCTGAAGTTGATCGAAGCTCTGTCTCTCAGTCGCAGCCCTCCGACGTCGATCGCAGCCCTCTGACGTCGATCGAAGCCCTCTGACGTCAATCGAAGACCTCTGATCCTGTCGTCTCAGCCTCTGCTTCAGTCGATCCAGTCGTCTTCGAAGGTAAGCCCCTCTCTCTGCGTCTCTCGCTCTCTCTCTTTCGCCTCTGTCTCCTTCTCTTTCGCTCTCTCTCTCTCTTTCAGCTTTCGACTGAGATGGATTGATTTTTATTTATTTATTTTTTTTATGTTTATATATGTTATATGTAACAGACTCTTTTTTTTATTTATTTTTTATTTTGATATATATTAATAAGACTCTTTTTTTATTTTTTTTATTTTGATATATATTATATGTAAGACTCTTTTTTATTTTTATTTTTATTTTTATTTATATATATATATGTAAGAACTTTTTTTTTTTATTTATATGTTTATATATATGTATATATATAAAACTGTATTTAAATTCTATTTTTTTTATTTAAACTCTTTATTTAGATGAGGCTGTTTTTTTTAATTATATGTTTAAATTCTGTTTTATTTAAATTTTATTTAAGCTCTTTTTTTTGTTTTTTTTTTATTTTTTTATTTATCCTTCTACTGTTAATGTTAATTTATAGGAAAAATGTCTAGTTCAAATTCTGCCAATAACACACCATCTGCCTTTGATGCTGAAGATGATAAGCCACTGTGGAAATATGTGACTAGATTAGAAAAATCTGGTGCAAAGGGGGGGAATTATACTTTTCAATGTAACTTTTGTCAGGTTACACGTAAAGGTTCATACACTAGGGTAAAAGCCCATTTGATGCAAATTAAAAATCAGGGGATAGAAGTGTGTCCAAAAGTAACAAGTAAGGATAAAGCAGATTTTGAGAGAGCAATTGCAGAAGCAGAGTTGAAATTGAAAAACTCTAGGTTGAAAAAAGTCCCATTGCCTCCTCCTAGTTCAAGTGCATCATTAGGTTTATGTTTTAATGAACCAGAGGAGATATATGGATCAAAAAGGAAGAGGTCAACTGCTTTAGGGAGTGGAAGTAGTAGTAACCCTGTTATGAAAGCATTTAACATTGGGGCTCGAGAACGACTAAATAGTGAGATAGCTAGAATGTTTTATTCAGCAGGCTTGCCATTTCATTTGGCAAGAAATCCTTACTATGTTAGTGCATTTACTTTTGCTGCAAATAACAACATACAAGGATATGTACCACCTGGGTATAACATGTTGAGAACTACATTGCTTCAAAAAGAAAGGATAAACATTGATAGGTTGTTAGATCCTATTCGAGGCTCATGGAGAGAGAAGGGGGTAAGTATAGTCAGTGATGGATAGAGTGATTCCCAACGATGGCCATTAATAAATTTTATGGCTGTTACCGGAGGTGGGCCACCTGGGTATAACATGTTGAGAACTACATTGCTTCAAAAAGAAAGGATAAACATTGATAGGTTGTTAGATCCTATTCGAGGCTCATGGAGAGAGAAGGGGGTGAGTATAGTCAGTGATGGATGGAGTGATTCCCAACGAAAGCCATTAATAAATTTTATGGCTGTTACCGGAGGTGGGCCTATGTTTCTTAAAGCGGTTGATTATTCAGGGGAAACAAAGGACAAATATTTTATTTCCAACTTGATGAAGGAAGTAATTATGGAGGTTGGGCCTAAAAATGTGGTTCAAGTCATTACAGATAATGCCGCAAATTGCAAGGCAGCCGGGCACCTAATTGAAGCACAATTTCCTCACATCTTTTGGACTCCTTGTGTTGTGCACACCCTCAATCTTGCCTTGAAGAATATTTGTGCTGCCAAGAATGTGGAAAATAATTCAGTTGCATTTGAAGAGTGTAATTGGATTAGTGAGGTTGTGGGTGATGTGATGATGATCAAGAATTTTATTTGTAATCATTCCATGAGGTTGGCAATGTACAATGAGTTTGTGAGTTTGAAACTTCTTTCAGTTGCCGAGACACGCTTTGCTTCTTCTATTGTCATGCTTAAGAGGGTCAAGTTGATAAAGCAAGGTCTCCAAACAATGGTAATCAGTGACAAATGGAGTTGTTATAGGGATGATGATATTGCCAAGGCCAAGTTTGTGAAGGATAAGTTATTGGATGACTTTTGGTGGGATCAAGTTGACTACATACTTTCCTTTACTGATTAGAGTTTGTGACACCGATAGACTTTCTCTTCAATTAGTATATGACATGTGGGATACAATGATAGAAAAAGTGAAGATGGTGATATATAAGCATGAAGGAGAGCGACTAGAAGATGAGTCTACATTCTATAATGTAGTACATCAGATTCTTGTAGACCGGTGGAACAAGAACAACACACCACTTCATTGCTTGGCACACTCATTGAATCCAAGGTGATTACAATACAATTTACTATTTTTATTAATTTAAGTTTAATATTATTCTTTCACATTTATAATGAGTAGTACTTTTTTTTCATTTTAGGTATTATAATGATGTGTGGCTTCATGAGGATCCAAGCCGAGTTCCCCCACACAGGGATGAGGAGGTTTGTCTTGAGAGAAAAAAGTGCTTGAAAAGGTTCTTTGATGATCCAATGGAGCGCACTAAAGCAAATTTGGAGTATGCTAAGTTCTCAACAAAAGAGGGGCCATTTGCTGACATTGATTCCATTGGAGATAGATGTGATATGGATCCTCATAGTTGGTGGGTTGTTCATGGTGCATCTGCGCCCACTCTTCAATCTTTGGCTTTAAGGCTACTTGTGCAACCTTCTTCTTCATCATGTGCTGAGAGGAATTGGAGTATATACTCTTTTATCCATTCAATGAGAAGAAACAAGATGACACCCCAACGTGCAGAGGACTTGGTTTTTGTTCATAGCAACCTCCGTCTTTTATCAAGGAGAACCCCACAATACCATGAAGGAGAGACCAAGTTATGGGATATTGCGGGCGACACATTTGATTCATTTGATGATGTTGGAATGCTTGAGGTTGCAAATCTGTCACTTGATGAACCTGAGATGGAGGTTGTGTTGTTTACAGATAATGGAGGTGCAAACGAAGAAAAAGGTGGTGATGCTAATGATGATGAAGACGTGCAAGAAATTGGATCTACTTAAAGTTTTGAAAGGCCTACTTTTTTTTTCTTTTTCTTTTTTTTCTTCTTCTTTGTCTCTTATTTAGTGTTTTTGTGAAGAATATTGTTGGATGTTAGATGTTGGATGTTTTCCCTTATATTTATTGTTGGATGTTAGATGTTGAATCTTTTGCCTCTCTTATATTTATTAAATTAATGTTACTATGTTAATTAATGGTATTATGTTATTGTTTGTTAATTTTGATCTAGAATGAATGTAATACGAATCTACATAACACATAAAAATATATATATATATATATATATATAAATCGTCGTGTCCCCTGCCGTGTCCCGTGTCCGTATCCGTGTCCGTGTCTGTGTCCGTGTCCGTGCTTCATAGAGTGTAAGTAGGCAAAAGTGTAGAGAATTTGTAGAGAGAGGAAAATTTTGAGCCTAAAATTTTCTAACCTCAAAACATGAGAGAGGGGGTCCCTATATATAGAAAACATGAAATCTATTCAAGGAGATCCAGCCCTCCACGTGTGGACAGATGCATACATTTGTGTAAACAGCTGGCACAACAAGCATAAAATATCTACAAAAAACACTGGTGGCCGGCTGACCGGCCATCAGTGATGGCTAGCAGGGCATCATTGATGGCCGGCAGACAATAAATGATGGTCGGTACCCTCCAGGGATGGCCGGCAGGCCACCAGAGATTGCAGGATGGAAAGACCAAGGCATGGTCCAAAAATGAGACAAAATGAATGCAGAGTTTGAAAGGCTCAAAGTTATGGCATTTCACTGAGGACTACGAACGCTCGGCGAGCAAACAGACTCATCATCGGATGTACCTGCAAGGACATCCAAGTCGTAAGGGCCGCCAAAAATAGGGTGTCTATGCCGGCCATCACTCTTGGTTGCCGGCCACCAATGTCTTTTGCAGATATTTTGTGACAACTGTCCCAACTGTTTGCACAGATGCTTGCATCTGCTCCCACGTGTATGGTTGGATGTTTATAAGGGAGATTCATGTTTTCTATATATGGAGGACCTCCCCTTTTGCTTTTAAGGTTAGAAAAATTTTGAAGCAAAATTTTTACTCTCTCTCTACAATTCTCTCTCTCTCTCTCTCTTACAAATTTATTAACCTTTGTTTGCATATCCTTCACCTTTGCCTATACACCCTTAACCAAACCTCTTCATCTTTGAGCTGAGGTATGTTAGAGCCTTGTTTGAGCTCATGAGGGTGTGTTTACCTTAGTTTATTGCTTGGAATTGATTTCCTCTTCAAGAGGTATAAGGCTTTGCCTCTTCACTTGTTGTATCTATTCTTTTTCTTGCTGTTTTCCAACTATTTTTGGGCTATAAAACTCTATATTTTTGGCTAAAGGTTGGGTTTTAAGGCCAATAAAGGTTGAGGGGTGGTTCACCCTTCTTTACACCTTGCTCTCAAGGCCTTTTCTCTTGAGTTTCCCACCTTTGCACTATCTTTTTTTAGGCTTTTAAACACTGATTTTCATAGCTATTTCAGTGGCTAGAATCATGTTTTGAAGTCCAAAATTAGAGGGGTTAGCCTCCCCTTCTTGTCTTTTACTTACTAGTCTAGCATGCTCCATGTTTTAGCATATTAATCTAGCTATTTTTGTCTTAATTCTAGCATGTTTTAGGACTATTTTTAGACTTTTTTAGGATTGTCTTTAAGTGTTTGTTGCATTTGAGCTTTGTTTTTCATGCTTGTAGTGTAATTGTCCTCATGAGTTTAGTGTTTTAGGCCTTAGATTTTTTTGGGCTTTTAAACACTGATTTTCATAGCTATTTCAGTGGCTAGAATCATGTTTTGAAGTCCAAAATTAGAGGGGTTAGCCTCCCCTTCTTGTCTTTTACTTACTAGTCTAGCATGCTCCATGTTTTAGCATATTAATCTAGCTATTTTTGTCTTAATTCCAGCATGTTTTAGGACTATTTTTAGACTGTTTTAGGATTTTCTTTAAGTGTTTGTTGCATTTGAGCTTTGTTTTTCATGCTTGTAGTGTAATTGTCCTTATGAGTTTGCTGTTTTAGGCCTTAGACACCACCTTGTTTGAGTTGATTGCATTTATTTATGGCTTTCCATGCTTGTGATCACTCTTAATCACCTCTGCAACCTCCCTCATTTCTTAGCTTTCGTTTTTCTTTAAAAGTGGTTTCAAACAACTTGTTTGTTTAAGCATGAGATTGAAATGTCATGCATAATGGTTTAATCCCTTTGGGGTTCATTACCAATGATATGATGTTTCTTTCATGCCTAAAACAACCCTTGGTTTGAGCCCTCTTTCCATTTGAGGACTTAACCTCACCATTGGACTCAATGAATTAAAGGATGGTTGGTAATTAAAATGAAGTAATTAAACTAGGACTAAAATGGTGCAAGATAATAATTGGTTTTGTGTTCAATCAAACGTTAATTGAACACATGGAAGCTTGAGGCATTTCATAATCATTAGTGATGAAATGGTTCAAGTTTCCAAGGTCACCACTTTCCTTGATCAATTCATGAAAGGGAGGAGGTTTGAGTCTTGTTTTGTTGCATTTATTGAACTTGCACATTTTGGTTCATAAGCCATCACGCAATGAAATTGCTTGAGTTAACGGTTTGTGGACCAAGTTTTGTCCCTCCTTTGAGCTGTTTGATGATAAGGAGGGGTGAGTTGTGCAGACAACCCTTGAAAATACCATGTGCATGTTCTGTTTGTTCTTTGTTGCAGCAAGATGAACCCTACAACAGTGGCCGACAATCCACTTTCCTTGGCCGGCAGACCCTCACTCCTGGCGGGTCGGCCACCAATGCAAAATCCAGCAATATTTTTTTTGAGCAAAGTAGAGCTACTCTGGAGGTGGACAAAAGTATAAGTGTTCTACTGTGCAACCGAGACCTTCTAGAAGCAAAACAGTGGCTTTTTCGGGTGGAAAGTCCGTGCATGCATGGGCATTCCTCGTTTCCCAAGGAGGAATAATTAGAATAGTTAATTTGATTACATCGTTTTGTAATTAATTAGTTAGCTAATTTTGTCTTGTAATAATTAGTTAGCCAGAATAGTTAGTTAATTCGGTTTGTAATAATTAGTTAAGTAGTTTAGCTAGTTTATTCATTTGGGTTTGTAATAGTTAATTAATTAGCTTAGCTTTAAGTAGTTAGCTAGTTAGTTCATTCGAACTCTCCTTCGTGAGAGCGCAATGTTGTAATAACGTGTATGCCTTCCAATCCCACGTCTTTCTCCCTTTTATTTAACTGCTTACGATGGTT